GTTGTGCTTCTTTCTTGGTGGAGGGAGGGGCCAAATGCAACAACTTATTCTTCACCTTAGAGGGAATGTCTCTGCATGCTCCACACCACTGAACTCCTAGAAATTTCACTGAGGTAGAAGGCCCTTGAATTTTGGTTGGATTTATTTCCCATCCTCTCATGCGCATATGCTTAACCAACAAGTCCAGACCGTCTGCTACCTCCTGCTCACTGGATCCAATCAGCATAACATCATCAATGGAGTGGACCAGTGTGATATTTTGTGGAAGAGTTAGGCAATCAAGATCCCTTCGAACCAACTGATGGCACAGTGCTGGAGAGTTAATATATCCTTGAGGCAGGACAGTAAAGGTATACTGTTGGCCTTGCGAGCTGAAAGCGAATTGCTTCTGATGGTCCTTATGAACTGGTATCGAGAAGAAAGCATTTGCCAAATCAACAGCTGCATACCGGGTACCAGGAGACATATTAATCTGCTCGAGGAAGGAAACCACATCTGGTACAGCAGCTGCAATTGGAGTCACTACTTGATTAAGTTTTCGATACTCAACTGTCATTCTCCATGAGCCATCTGTCTTCTGCACAGGCCAAGTAGGAGAGTTAAAGGGAGATGTGGTGGGAATCACCACCCCTGCATCTTTCAAATCCTTGATGGTAGCACTAATTTCTGCAATCCCTCCAGGGATGCGGTACTGTTTTTGGTTCACTATTTTCCCTTGCAGAGCCAGTTCCAGTGGTTTCCATTTGGCCTTTCCAACCATAACAGCCCTCATTCCACAGGGCAGAGAACCAATGTGGGGATTCTGCCAATTCCTAAGTATATCTATCCCAATTATACATTCTGATACTGGGGAAATAACCACAGGATGAGTTCGGGGACCCACTGGACCCACTGTCAGTCGGACTTCAGCCAAAACTCCATTTATCACCTGACCTCCATAAGCCCCTACTTTAACTGGAGGGCCACAATGCTTCTTAGGATCCCCTGGAATCAGTGACAACTCAGAACCGGTATCCAATAGGCAGCGGAATGTCTGATTAGTTCCTTTCCCCCAATGTACAGTTACTCTAGTAAAAGACCGCAGGTCCCTCTGGGGAAGGATGGTGAGAGGCGAACAGCATAACTCTTTGGTACTGTGATAAGGTCCTTCCTCAAGGGCACCCGGCCTTCCCTTCATTCAAGGGGTTCTAGGTCTGTAAACTGTCTCAAGTCTGGAAATTGGTTGACTGAGTGAGATTCTCTGTTACTAGGATCCAATACTGACTTCCTGTCATTCATTCTAGAGCTTTTCTGCTTATACAGATCAAATAAAAACTTAATAGGCTTCTTATGTATGTGGTCCCTGGAAACACCATGATTGATCAGCACGTACCACAGGTCCATTCGAGTCATGCCATTGTAGTTATGGTTTTGCCTTTGCCGCCCATTTCGATAAGTACGCTCACCTTGTCTTTGGTAATTCAATACTGCCACCTGACCCCTATTCCAAGGTCCTGTTACAGGTCCGGTTACCTATTATATTTACATGTAGTTTATGCAATTGAAGAGCAGCATCTCCAACTCTAAGATTCGGCATAAGGAAAAGAGCAAAAACACAGCTCTTCAAACATTCTGGTGTCTCTCTCAGTACTTTCCATCTTATAAAATCAGTAAAAGGCATGTCCTCAGGGCCCTCCCATTGCGGAGTAAAT